TGTACGAGGAAAATGAGATCGTTTTAAACATAAATAGGTGTATATTTAAAATTGCAATTTTTTTCTCAAAAAACCGAACCCAAACTATTTGAAACCGCACTGAACCAAATCAAACGGTTTGATTTCATTTCGGTTTTGGCTTCAAAGGCACACCGACCCGCATTGCGCCACCCCTAGGCTAGGTGAGCTCAAAAAACCAAAAACTAAAATAAATCAAACCATTCACTGAACCGATCATAAATTGAACCAAAATTAAAATCAAACCAAACCACAAGTTATTGGTTCAGTTTCGGCTTCAAAGATTTAGAAACCAAACCGAACCAAATGAAACTTAATTTAATATTTTATTTATTTTATTATGGGTATTTATTTTTCAAACCCAATATTAATTTCAACACAAGTCTACATAAGTCCAACTTGAGGCCCAAAAAGTCCAAATATCTTATTCTTATGGAAACCCCAGCCTCTCCTATTCTTCATTTTATCGCCTTGTCACCTCTTTCCTTTTATCCCATCTTTTTTCTCCTTTTCCCCACAACTCCGTCTCTCTCTCAATGGAGTAAAGGGCGTCTCCATCCTCCCATGATCTTTATTTCAAAGTCTCTTATTTTGTTTGACTGGATGGTGGGATTTTGAGAAATTACAGGAAGTAGTGCTCATGGAAATTCTTTGTAACCTTGCTAGGGCAACGCTTTAGTTCTCGACACGTTTATTGTTGACTGGATGGGGATTGTTTGAGTATACCCCATAGATTTCGTGGTTGAAGGTAAGATAAGGCTGGAGGCGTGGCTTGATATCTGTCAATTTCCCTATCTCCTTCCAGGATTTTTCTTCTTACTAGGCAAAGCTAATCTCCAGGTTTTTTTATTTTCTAATTTTTTTTTTTTCAAAAAAACCGAAACCAAAATGGAATTCAAACTGAAAAAATAAAAAATCGAAATCGAACTTCAACCGAACAGTAACTTCGGTTTGCCCTTCTATGCTCTCCTCCTCTTGCTAGCCACAAGCTCGATCTCTCATTCTTTTGCCACGGGATGGTCGATCTACTAATACCGTTTACTTTAATAAAAAATAATATTTTTATATTAAAAAATTAATTATATTATTATTTATTATGCTTTTTATTTTATTTTTATTGTTGAAATTCAAAATTTTTAAAACATTTTCATTATTTTTCTTATAAAAAAACACGCAATCAAGTTGTATTTAGGGGTGTGATATCCACACACCCCTTTTTACTTCTCACATACCCTTCTAATTTTCGGCCATCGGATCAGATGAAATAAAGAAAATCAACGGACATAAATTAACAAGGGGTGTGTGAGAAGTAAAAAGGGGTGTGTGGATAGCACACCCCTTGTATTTATTCTCACAGACGGCATTAAAACTGTGGACGCTCACTCGTGAGATCACCACGGGCTGAATTGGTCAAGTGCTTGCCCTTGATATACTTGGGCTTTGCAAACAATAAGGAAAAAGACAAAGGATAAAAGTGGATCGTTCCTCAAAATTGGGCTGTATCCTGATTCTCTTAAGATAAATTCACTCGAGAGACCTATTGCCAACCTTTATGTCCTTTCAAAGACTTTTGTTCCATCGAATGATTGTCACGTGGTTTGGAGTTGACATCTGAGTAAGCTTATCCTTCTGTTCGTAGAGGTTAGAAAGAACCTGCGTTAAGAACCTTAAACTTAAGAGTTCAAACTATAATTAACCTAAAATTTTAACGGTGGAACCAAAAATTCCAATTCAACTGTCAGTCCTATGCTCATCCAAGTGCAAACATTAAATAATTGAAATTATTGAATGATTTACCTTGTCAGACTTACGGATCAACTGCTTGATAGGACAATACAATAGATATGACCCATGCAAAGCAAAGCATTCGAAGTCCCTCCCACCGCCCATGATAAATAAATAGGGCAAACTAAAAGCTCAGTTTATTGGGCCCAATAATAAACAATAAAGAATTTTAATGAAAAATTTTCGGTACTGTTTATTTTAATAAAAAAAATCATATTTTTTTATTAAAAAATTAATTCTGATACTATTTACTTTATTTTTTATTTTATCTTTATCGTTAAAACTCAAAATTTTCAAATTATTCTCATTAGTTTTCCTTAAATAATAAGGAAAGCAAATTGACTGCTGTTGTGGACAAAAGGAATTCAATTGAGATAGCGTGCTATTAGTAAGCGCGGACCCAACATGTTATCCCATTATTTTTTGTCCCCTTCATTTATTTTTATATTAAGATTCTCTTTCTTTCTCTTTCTATCTTCTTTCATCTTCTCTTCTCATATTCTCTTTCTATAAAAAAAATTAATATAAAATGTTAACGTAACTTAATCATAACCGTTCAAATAGAAGAGGAGGGGAGATGAAAGAAAAAAAGATGGAAGAAAATCCTTCTCCTTTATGTTTAAACACACAAAAAAAAAAAAAGGATCACTATCTTCAACTGAAAAAAAAAAGAGAAAGATAAGACATGGTGCCTGGTGTTTTTCTCCTTTTCTTAGATGCGGATTTCTTTTTCTTACTTTTTAATTCCTCTTATAGAGGCCAGAAGAAAAAAAAAACACAACGCGCATCGTTACAATGTATTGCTGAAGATTCTTCATGATAAATATAAGGCTTATTATATTAACATTCTACAAATTATTAAATAATTTTACATACTTAATATATTTTATATTTGTTTTTTCAATGAAAAATTATCTTCATACACTTCACTTACTTTCCTATAATATCCTCACACCTCACATTCTCAATGTACACCTTACATTTTCGACATGTACTCCATATTTTCTGTACACCCCACATTTCTCAAATCTTATAAAGCTTTTAATTTGGACAAAAAATGCCGACTATAATTTTGACAAAAGATGCCGTTTGAGATTTAAAGCATATATGGGTTGTTTTCACTTCCACCATTAAAACTCATGTTGTATGTTTTTAATATTTGGTGGTAATTTTAGGTGTTTAATTTTTTATGTAATCCATGTGATCCCTAAAAGATAAATACGAACATAGAAGCTTAAATAACGCAGCAAAAACAAGATTAAATAATTATCGATGTCATCAAAATTACTAAAACAGTAATTCTATGATAAATATATTGCTGAAGATTCTTCATGATTAATATAATCCTTAGTCTATGATGGTTTTGATTTCGAATTAGAAAATGTCGACTGTAAATATCCTCGAAAGATACTAGGAGCATTTTATTAAACTAGATAATTAATATCAATCATCCATACATAACTTTGTGCAGACTGAAAATAGTATCAAAGATTCTTCAATAGTCCCCCAATAAAATTTTCAACTCTTTCAAGAATTTGAGCATGTTGCAACATTATTTAAGTTTGAATTAACAAAACTACTCATTTTAGTGTGAACACTTTGTTTTGGCCCACCCAACTAGGTGGTATAAAACCCCTTTTATTTTAGTAAATAAATGATATACACACTTTTTGTTCTCTTATGTAACCTAGTTTTTTTAAAGACTGTTTTAGCTAAAATGATTATTGAGATTTGCATAACTTTTCATTTTGGTTCCTGAGATTGTCCACCATCAATCATTTTGGTATTTGTGTGAAATATTATGTTAAATAATGATCAAAATAACAAAACTACCCTTAATTTAATAAACAATAGGCCAAAATGATTTGACCAAATTTGAGGGTATTTTTGCTATTTTATCCTTATTTTATGAAAAAATTTCATAGAATGATTAAAATGATTGATTGTGGACAATCTCAGGAACCAATTCTATCAATTTCAAATCTTAGAGACCAAAATGAGGAGTTATGTAAATCTTAAAAACCATTGTGGCTAAAAAGCATTTTCAAAATAACTAGTTGATCATTTTGTCACGACCGTCAACTCTTCTCAGAGTGGAAGACTCACAAATACACTTCAGCCTCTCAATGGTCACCATTGTGTGATTCAAGAGTGTCAAGAATCGACCTCAAGACATGCCGTGTCCCATCCACTAGGTCACTCCGTGGTGGTTGAAATATTGCTTTGCAAGAAATTTTGTCAATGAAACACAAGCATGTACATCGCGTTTAATAATGCAAGTGGAGGCACTAAATAATATATCATCTCTTCCCCACCTGTATTCCCTACTCTGAGTTTTCTCTTTGCTTTGCATTTTTGTGATGCTCCATCTTACAAGTCATTACTAGTGAGATCAACATCCAACGATAAAGTTGATGGGATTACATTACTTGCTGGGTAAAGGAATCATAGCCCAAAAAGCTTTGCTTTTTCAAGTACCCACAAAAGACCAAACTATACATTTGTCATTTGGGAAAAGATGCACGCACTATTCTTCCTAACCTTTTCTCTTCTCCTATTTTCCCCTCTCTAATTAGTCCATCAACATCACAATTTTCTTCTCTACACTCCAAGACTTGGATCATTTCTTTCTTGAGCTGATTCTTTGTGAAATTCACCGTTCTTTTGACTGAGAAGTCCACTTCCTTCTGCATCAAAGCTAGCATGAACGCTATAGAACACATACACGAGCACCGTAACTCCCGAAAAGACCCCGAACCTCACATAGGATGGCTTGTCCATGGACCCCAACAAAAATATGTTCAAGAAGATGGAGATGGATGGCATCCATGGCATCAAGGGGACGCCCCAATATTCCGGCTTTCTCACTTGTGGAACCTGGTAATGGAAAATTTGCAGCATTGAAACCGCAATTGCTGCGGTGACAACAAGCATGAAGGCTTTCAGCTTCCCTGGTGGTGCGAAATGCCAGATGAAGACGAAGATGATAGAGGTGAGGGATAATGAGCACAGGAATGATAATGTAGGTCGTGGATTGGTCGTCCCCACCACGACATAGCGCCTAAAAATCACAGCGTTGGCCACCATGTAGAAAACAAATAGCGTCCCGATGGATACAAGGTTGAGAAGGACATTCAGATCCGTGAAAAGCGCAATTGCGGCTGTCAAGATACCTGAAAGGAACAAGTCACAAATATGTAAGTACGAAAAACATGTTTTCTAAGGCCAGTAACTTTAATTTTTTTATTTTTTTTCATTTTCGGGATTAAGACGAAAAAAACAAAGAGGTGATGGGAGATGAAGATTAGACGAGCACCCACAAAACAAAAGCATAAATGTGACAAAGAATATGAGAGCCAAGTTGCTGGGCTGAGTGGGATAGCCATTTATACGAAGTTTGACAGGTGAGATTGAGAGAAAATAAAAGGTCGTCTTCCATCAATGGCTGCGAGTGCATATGCAGGGATTTTTATCTAGTGAAAATTGAAGATGCATGGTTGGACCAATCTCGACCATTTGACTCACTCGTAACTTGAACATTAAAATCTCCTCCAACGACTTAAAAATCGAACCCGAAAGCGACAGAGATAAAGATAAGAGATGACGATGATGCTAAAGTCAGAATGCCCATGAACATGATAAAGCCTGGCTGCAAAGGTAACTATCAACCATGTTTTATATTAGATATTGAAAAAAGAAAATTGATACTACGACCACGAGATAGATAGATAGATGGATAAATTTATGGAGAGAAATCTGATACGCCCATTGCACTAAAGTTGACAAAAGCAAATTCCATTTCACCCATGCGCACAGCTCGCAGGCGGCTGTAACCAATTGATATGTCACCAAAATATCCTCATCACCAACACCACCAACAAGATTAAACATGCTATGAGACGATGAATAGAATAGAGCGAAACAACAATGTTATGAGAACTTATGACGATAAATACAAAAATTCTATGGAGTTCTAGAGTATGAGATACTTCGATGTTATGTTTTAACAGTTGTCTTGATTTTTTCAATTTCTCGCATACATCAAACAATTCAAACACTCATAGTGTCTTACCGGGTAGATGCGGCAAATCAACACATTGGGTTGTTAACGGATACCCGTTAAGACCCGTTTAATTGATATCACCATAATATAAAAGTGAAATTTATAGTGTTAATAATCGTGTAAGATGAAATCAAACTAAATGAATCTAGTACCCGTTAACAAGTTGATTTGTCACATCTACTTCAGAGGTAGCTTACGCAAATCCCCAATGGATGAATATGACTCACATTGACATCCCTCTTTCCTCATCACATCTTATTTAGATAAACACACAGATTACAGGAAGGAAGGAAGAAGAAGCTGCAGTTCTCACACTTTTCGCTGGTGGACAAAAGTAGGATCCTTTTTCACATCATCATTATTTATTATTAGCAACAACAAGTATTTAGGGTTTAAGTGGGCCACGCAATTCCCAACCATAGGAGGACTCACTAAACCCTACACCAACAGCTGATAATTTCCTACGTGTGCATCTTACCAGCCACGCACTAAGGAAATTTTTAGTTGGGACAGTAACACGTATAGTACACTGTGTTTTTATTTAAATGGTGAAAAATTTAACTTTTAAGTTATTAATCTTTTCACACATATATCACATTATTTATATAAGGATACGTGATATACCATCTCGTGTAACGGAAAAATCTCTCCACTAATCCTAACGCCTAACTCCACCAATCAGCTGCTGACAAATATACTTATAAAATCCGCCAACTCATCACTCGGTCGATACTAGAACTTTTTTTGGTCAAAAGAAGATGAGCCAAAACAAAACGGACGGTCCGCCGGTCGGCCGTGGAAAACGGAAACGGTTCAAATGGACCCCACCACAGAATTAGTTCGAAACGCCCGGAAGAAACCTCCTCCTTCGCATGGGGCAATGTGCGCGCACAGCAAACAACACACGCATTGCACGCAAACACATTAACTCTCACATTGATTGATAAACACGAAAAGAAAGCGTTATATTATTACCATTATCGACTGACACATTATCACAACCACCATAAATTTAATGGATTTGGATCCTCTCATGTGAGCTTAGAAAGCTGGGACTTTTAAGTAAGATACGGATCGTTAGATTTTAATTCAACGGTTATAATTATTATAATTTTTAAAGAATTTCTTTATTTGTAAAATCTAACGGCATATGCCCTTTGCTCAAAAGACTCAGTCTCATAAGCTCAAAAGATGATCCAAATCCAAATTTAATAAGAGAAATGCTAATAATAAGACTCTTAAAAATGTAAAAATGTTACTTTTACCAATTATTTGTAACATCATGTATTAGAAAGATGAGACCATATGCGTTGACAGATCCTTCCTCTATTATAGAGACATTACAAATAAATAGTAAATGTATCATTACTTCTTAAAATAGAAAATGAAAAATTCTCTATAAACATTTCGTCACCACAATTTTTTTTTTGCATCATATTTGTAAATTTGGCACGAGAATTATAGCAAAAATCACTTTTTGAGAGTCTCTTTATGCTCATTTAATAAGCATACCTAAATCAAAAATATATGGGAATTGATGATTTAATCCTTAATTAATTAAGGTGTTTATTTCTTTTAAGAATAAAACCACTAAATGGATAATAAAGAAACAAACCAACGAAGGAGGAAAAAAAAAAGAAATATAAAACTTTTGGATAATTAACGTACCGAGAAAAGCGGAGGCGTTGACAGGCGTGGATGTCTTAGGGTGGACCCTAGCGAACCAAGCAGGGACAACCCTGGACCGTCCGATGACACACATGTAACGCGCCTGGCCCAGCATGGATACAAGCAGTGACGTTAGAATTCCAAAACTTGCCCCCACTCCGATCACGTTCGACTCCCACTTCCCTCTGAACGCCGCCGAAAACGGAGCCTCCGGGTCGATCGCGTCGTACGGGAGGAGCTTCGACATGGACGCCGCCATTAAGCAGTAGAGGACGGTGACGAGCAAGACGGAGCCCGACACGCCGATTGGGATGTCCTTAACCGGATTCTTCACCTCTTCCGCCATCGTTGATACAGCGTCGTACCCGATGTAGCTGAGGTAAACCATACTTGCCCCATTGAACACGCCCGAAACCCCGTAAGGAAAAAACCCGGATGGCTGAGCCGGGTCGGCCGGGTGCGTGAAGTTGTTCCAGTCCCCTTTGCAGAATCCAGCGACTATAACAAATGCGATGAAGATTATATGCACCGCCGTCAGCACCATGTTCAAAACAGAGCTCTCCTTCGTACTGTAGCAGATGATGAGCGTAATGGTTAAAACGACGACGACGGCAACGAAGTCGATCTGATCGAATCCGTTGGGGAGTCCGGAGACGGTGAACCTCCATTTGGCGGCGGGGACGCCTATTGCAGAGCCCATGTAGGCGGTGAAGCCCCTTGCGACGGCGGCGTTCGACATTACGTAGTCCATCACCAGGTTCGCTCCTGTTAAAAACGCCGCGAATTCACCTGAGAAACCCAAACGCCAAATCCCAAACCAAAAATAATAAAAATAAGCCAAAGGGGAAAGCATTTAAGTAATTAATTATTAGAAACATATAGAAAGAAAGAACAGAAGAAAATATCAGAAAGTTTACCGAAGGTGACGCGGAGGTAGCTAAAGGCGCCGCCAGCAACGGGCATGTCGACGGCGAACTCAGTGTAGCAGAAGGCGGAGAGAAGAGCGCAGAATCCGGCAATGGCGTAGGAGATGACGATAGCCGGGCCGGCGTAGAGGCGACTGGCACGACCGGTGGTGACAAAGACGCCAGCACCGACCATCCCGCCGAGGCCCAATCCGACGAGGTCGAACCAGCGGAGCGTCTTCTGCATGTGGGGCCCGGAGCGAGCTCGGACGGCACTCATTTCGTCGTAGGAAGTGGAGACGGAACTGGCCCGGCGAGCGAGGCGGGTAGGTGTGTCAGCCAGGGCTCGGAGGTAGGCCCGGGGGCTTGAGAAAGAGGAGGAGGGGCCATGGGGGACTGGGGCACTAATCTCCATTGAGATTTGATGTGGGTTATCTTTCCTTTGGATTTTGAGTGAGGATCGAGTTTCCTTTATATAAATAAATGTAAAAGCTTCTGACAGCGGACGGTGATTTTGGATGAAAGACAAGGCAAAGGAGGAAGGCCAAAAGGTTAGCTGACTACTTACTGGTATCAGTATGCGTCATGGGGGTGATGTGATATGGGAATAAGGATCCTCGTCGGATCCTTTTGTGAGGATTTCGAGAACCTGCGTATTTTGTTCGTCTATATCAAGTTTTCATAAATTATTTTAAATTTTATTATTTAAAATATAAACAGTATTTAAAATTTTGAACTGCACGATATATAATAAATGGACACGATTTATGAATTTTTAAAAGCATCACAAAAGGATCCAGAGAGAATTCGGATTCTTGAAATAAATGGAAAGGCATTTATGCCAATACATCCCTCGTGGATACGATTTTTTATGTATCGGTTCAAATTCTAGCATCTATCTATATAAAGATATGTTAGTTAAAAATTCATACGTTCGACCAAAAAAGTTAAAAATTTATACGTTCGACAAAAAAAGTTAAAAATTTATACATTATGACCAAAAAAGTTAAAATTCCATACTAATTAACAAATATATTTTGAACCTAATCAATCAATTATTTTCGTTAATTAGCATATGACAACAAGAAGGCCAAACTTTTTATATTTTGGAGTACACTCTTTATTAATTAGTTTTATACTGAACCTCAACTTTTTTCATAAAATCAGAGTAAGTTGTTTCATATGTAAAACACAACAGTCACATGTGCTCCATGTCATATTGTTTATGTTATTTATGTATTAGGCTTGAAAATTTGTTATACACATAAAAGAGCATGTTGAGAATGAATTTTACATTATTAGTCCTTTCAAAAACTATTTCGAGGAAGAATCAATTAGTACCGATGGTTAGTATTTTTTGCCCAATTTCTACCGAAATTAATATATATCTCCATCACAACTTACATAAGAATCAACAACCTACTCACATAAAAATCTACATTCATAAATAGTCTAAAATTTGGTACTAAGCAGAATATTCTGCAGCACAATAGACTAGTCAAGTTCACAAATCAACTAAGTACAGATTCGTCAGTTAATCAAATGCAAATCTACGAACCAAACTTAGTTCACTATGAGTTATCTTAGTCACAAATAAGTTCATTGCTCATAATATGCAGTGTAAACTTAGTTTCTAACACATATCAAGTAATAATTCATATGATGCATGAGACACATGCAAGTAAATAAGAAATGTGGACAAGCTTAAGAGATAAAGAACGCAAGAAGTTTTTCGCCAAAAAAACCCACTTCTGGGTTTAAAAACCAGGGACTCTCCATTGGGTCCAGTCCACTAGTGAAAACAAGATTCTTACAAAATAACCACACAAGCTCAATTTCTAGATCCTAATCTAGATAGCAGCTTGTACCTTTGTGCAACCTTGTCTTTCACGAGGTAGACTCCTTCGGTCTTCATGAAGTGGAAGCTCCTTCTAAGCTCTTCACCTTTTGGCACCAAAATTAAATCAACTTATGTCAATGATGTTATGATGAAGTTGATATAAATCTGGATTCCATGTCTAGTCAGTTTCACCAATCAAACACTTGTAAGATGAAACTGACGTGAATCCAAAAAGAGGTCAGTTTAAAGATTTGAAACTTGAAAAACTTGACCACAAAATTTAAAAAAAAAAACCATGAAGACAATGTTACCCTAATATGCAATGATTGGATGTTTGATTCATGAACATGGTTTTTTGGCTAGGGTTCTAATGAAGAACACAAGAGGTAGCTCAAAGCTAAAATGAACTATTTTCTGAAAAAGTAAAACTCCTAGCCAAAACAAATGAGCTTGTAAAACGAATTTAAGCAAGCAATTTCAAAGATAGATTTAGAACTATTCGATAAAGAACATTACCCACGCTCCTAGGAGATTCGAGATGGAGATGAAGAATAAAGCTTTAAAAAAAATTCCAATCTCAAACCCCAAAAACAAAATGAACCCTAGATTGATCTTTTAAAGAGGATTTGATGTTCGAACATAAAGGGGACCAGAAAAACCACATGTCATGTGCAAAATCAATCTGGAAAGATCTATGGTTGAAAAACACTCTTGGGGAAGAAACTGTCAGAAAGCCCATGTGGGTTATCTAAAAGTGTGTGCCCAAGCATGAAAGCAGCGAGAAGTTTTGACTAGACAAAATGAACTAGAAATAATGGCATGAAATGCATATGTATGAACAAACCTTTGATGAGAGAAGTTAAGCTCTTGAAATGATATTTCAGCAGCATAATCCCGAAAGGAGCATTTTAACCCTAAAACTAACTAGAGCATGTGTGGTACAATTTACAACATTTAACAAAGAAAGCCAAACAATAAAACTAGACTTCACATAGTCGAAGCCTATACTCTCGATAACTTACTCAGAGAGTCATAGACGCTTTGTAAGTACTATCCCCCTCCTCCTTACTACACCTAAATTTTGGAAATACACAAATTCCATCCATTCTCATTACATTGATTGCAATTAGATTGCAATTAGTTCGTTACTTTCTTCTTTGTTTTTCTTTTCTTTTTGTAGTTTACCTTTTCCTCATTTTCTTTTGTTTAAAAAATAATTAATGTTTTGAAAGCAGATGATTATGGGCTGGGTTGGGGTTGAGGTGATTTTTTTTAAAGCAGCTTTAAAAAAGCTAAGGTTAGAATAGTGTTTGGTAAAAAGCAAGGAAGCTATTTTTTTTCAAAATTGTGAATCATTGGCAAAAAAAAAAAAAAAAAAAAAAAAAAAAAAAAGCAACTCAGACTATGCTTATTTTCAAAGCATGCAAGTGAACAATGCCTCTTTAATGAAATTTTCAAACAACAAGCATACCCCCACATATTTTACAAAATTACAGTATTTGCCTACTTTACTTACTTCATCTTTTTTGCCTAATTTAGATAGGCAAAACCCATACAATCTTCTTCGCCCAATTTTCCTCATGATTATGGGTTAATCGCAGTGGCAAGTATCGCTTAGCTTTCTTCTTGGCTACCTCCGACTTATTCCGAGGCTGCTTGGGTGCTTTGTTGGCTCACCAAGCTTTCGTCCCAAGGTGCATGCTTCTCTGCCATAGCCAAATATTCTCCTATGATCAATTCTCCAAGTAATGGGTAGTCTACAGGGAGTCCGTTATGAAAGGTTGCAATAGCTATCGAGTCACTGCATCATACAATTTTTGCCTTCTCCGCCTTGAACCTCATTAAGTAGTCGCGAAACGTCTCATTCAAACCATTTTTTTGTTGAACAGGTGGTTAGACTTTTTCTTGATTGAACGGTAGGAGGAGTGTTCCTTAGTGAAGACCAAAAAAAACTCATCGAAACTCTGGCTGGATCGTGGTGGCAGGATGTGAAACCAATCCTGCACCTCACCTTGTAAGGTGATGGCGAATATCTTGCACATGAGGGCTTCATTGATCTGGTAAAGGATCACTACGATGAGGTAGTGCTTTAGGTGACTTTACTGGTCTTCATCTCCATTCAAAAAAGTGAAATGTGGCATGTTGAACTTGCGTGTAGGCTCCGTCTGCTTGATCTCGTCTGTGAAATGTGACTTACTTATGTGGGCTACATATTTTTGAAGTGCCTCATCAATGGTTTTGATGTGCTGGAACCTACAATCAGACAGATATGAGCCTCTTCACTTCTTATTGAATTTGCCTTTGTTGGAGCAGCGGAACTCCTGACTTCATTTGATTGTGACATGCTGGTCTGCGCTAGCTTTCCCATTGTCCTGCTTGTTTGTGTCACGACTTCGGTGCACATGCTTCGTCTCTGGCCGGGGAGAAGGCTGTTCGTGGTTGCACTTGACGCAGACTGCCAGTTGAACTTGAGTTGGATTGGGTGGCTGCTTCTCTTTGTCCACCGTGTTGCCTACTCCGATGTGGTGTGGATGATGCTCCTCGCGGGCAAAACTGTGAAGGGACACTTTTCTTGGAATTAAGTCTATGATGTTCATTGAAGTAAGGGTCCAACCGTGAATGCATACTTGCCCTGCCTAGTCAGGAGTGAACGCTTCTTTGCGAGCTTAGGTGGGAGAAAATGTTCTCGTAAGAGCCTAGACGGGAGTGCACACTACCTGAACGTTTGGTTCTTGACTGGTTGAGTGACTACTTGCTGGGACGTGATGGAAAGAAATGTCTTCGTATGCCCTTGTCTTATTTCAGGACACGTTATTTAGGGCGCGCTGTGTCTCGATGTACTACAAGAACTGATTCATGAAAGTCGTCTGCTACGCGAATGCACTTGTACAATCTGCGATTTGTCGAGACAAATGTTGTTCATTATTCGAGATGGAAAAGCTTGGATGGTAGGCATCTACATGAGTAGTGGAAGTGTAATGGATTTCGGGTCCAAAATTCAAGTTGGGACGAGTAAATCTGCAAAAAAAAAATGAAGAAAAAATAATCCCAGTTTAATCGCCGGTCCAGGAACCTGAAGTTGGGTTGGTTAAACCGATCTAGGACCCGTCAGGTGGGTCGCAAGAGCGAGTTGGGCGCTTAAGCACATGCCACGCTATGCACGCGCTGGGCCTGAGCCTGGGCCATGTCTGGTATAGCTACTTGAACGTTTGGTTCTTGACTGGTTGAGTGGCTACTTGCTGGAACGTGATGGAAAGAAATGTCATCATATGCTACAAGAATGCGCTTGTACAATCTGCGACCTGTTGAGACAAATGTTGTTCACTATTCGGGATGGAAGAGCTTGTATGGTAGGCATCTACATGAGTAGTGGAAGTGTAATGGATTTCGGGTCCAAAATTTAAGGTGGGACAAGTAAATTGCAAAAAAAACGAAGAAAAAAAAATCCCAGTTTAATCGCCGGTCCAGGAACTTGAAGTTGGGTTGGTTGAACCGATATGGGACCCGTCAGGTGGGCCGCGGGAGTGAGTTGGGCGCTTGAGCACATGCCACGCTATGCGCGCACTAGGCCTGGGCCATGTCTGGCATAGCTACCTCTATTGGGCTTGCGCTACTGGGCCAACGACTCTTTTAGGCTTTGCTTGGGGTTTAGGCCCATGTGGATTGGGTAAGCAATTTGCATTGCTACCTTAGGCATGTAGTTGCCTGGGCTTGCTAAACTGATGCCCACACGTTGTGGGTTTGATGCTTCGCAACTTCTTCACCGTGGCTCGGGGGTGC